CTCAACCTTCGCCAAGGGCGCGCAGGACGTTGCGCACGAGTCTCCCCCTTCCCCAGGGCGCACGGCTGGACGCCGGGACGGGGGCTGGGGCCGGGGCTGGCCCGGGCCGGGGGCTGCTCTCCCTTCCGGATCCCCAGCCCTGCCCTTTCCCGGATTGGGAAGGGCCGACCCGTCCCCTTCCCTTCCCTTCCCCTGGTGCGCCCGCCCCAACCTGCGTTTGGAGACGCGCCTCTTCCGGGAGCGTGGGAACGGCTTGCGTGTCGGTCCTACACGTGGAACCCGCCTCCCCAGGGGGTCTCGAGGCTTAGGCAGGCAAACTTATGGCACAAGAGTTGCAAACTTTTTTTTTCCCTTTGGGAGCGGCTTCCGCGGGCAAGCCGGTTCCCACACCCTCGCTGGGCCCTTTTCGGCCCCTGGGAAAGCAGCCTTGATTTAAAAAAAATGCATTAATTAATGCCCCGGTGCAAATGAAGCTGGTGCCAAGCCAGCCCAACCGATTAGGCGTGCAGAGGTTTCAAAAATATAAACTCCCCTTTTTACAATATAAACTTCCCTTTTGCACACAAACAAACAGCAGAGGGGAAAACAAAAAAGTAACAAAAAGGCTAAAGGCGTCTTAAAGCCTAACTTGTGTGTATATATAATGATGAAGTAGTGGGCTTGGCCACAATATATTTATATATCTCTAAAAGGAAGCTTTTGTGGAGAAGACCACTTCATCAGACATAAGGGCCGGAACTGCCTACAAAAGTGCACATTAAAAAGAAAATATACACCTTCGTCCTTAAGGTGCTGCCTTAACTTTTAATTTTCTTTCTGGTTTCACTTGTCATGCTTTGCACCCACGAACACGGCTACCCCCTTCTGCAGCTGCAAGAAATACACGGAGTTCATGGCAGGCGGCCCATTTGTTTCCCGTTGTTGCTACTGGCCCTGCGGCCTGCGAAAATCCTGCTCTTTGCAGTCCAAGGATTCGGCTCTAATATTTAGTCATTTTTTTCAGTTAACAGTTAAAAACAGTTAACAAAACCATTCCGAAAAACACATTTAAAAGCAACAGATTCAAAAAAAAGAACCACACACCCACACACTCCAAGCCAGCTCAAGCCACCAATCACACAGGGAAAGCTTCCTGCCTGAAAAAAGAGGCCTCCTTGCAGAAAGGCAACCAAGATGGGGCCAACCTGGCCTCTAGTGGCAGGGAGTTCCACTGTCTGGAAACAGCAAGGTACCCACCCCATAATGCTCTGTACTTAATATTTTTTTCTTAGTTCCACTGCAGTATTAGCAATTCTTTTTTTTAAATAGATTATGGGGTTTCTTTTTGCTGGCGTCTGTCAATCGTACTATGGTTTTGGCATGCCTATATGATGTCTCTTGAGTTTCAATTTTATGTTGGTGAAATTATAGTTTGCATCTAATCCCTTCGTATTTTTATTATTATTTATAGATTATTTTTGACCTTCCAAGGTTTCAAATGCCACTGGGCAGCCGTAATCATGCATTGGAACAGAACAAGCAGCCGGGGCTGCAAGAGAATCCTGGCTTCTTGTCCCGGCATTTTGTTGTGCTCTGATTTTTCTCGGCTGGTCCAGCTGCTAAAGGAACTGGGGATGGTCGGCTGGGCACGTGGGTCTAAACCACGTCTCCTAGTTCATCGCCACAGAGTTTGGCTGGGATTTGTAAAGCAAGAACGAGTGTAGAATCCCAGTTTGTAAATGTTGATTATTTATAATCCTGGTTTGTATAATCCTGGTTTGTATAATCCTGGTTTGTAAGGGATTATACTTTATAATCCTGGCTTGCAAAAGATGGTGGTTTGTAATCCTGGTTTGTGTGATAGTTTTTAATCCCAGCTTTTAAAGAATGAACCAAACCATTCCTGGTTTATTTAACTGAGAGAAAGGAAGATGCAGTTAAAAGGCCTGCTTGCGCTTTCAGAACCAGATAAGGTTTTCCTGGAATCCTGGTTATATTCCTCCCTGCCATTTATTTCAGGCTCAGCAAGAAAGACCTGGATTATGTTAATATTTTCTCCGTATTTGGTCTATATCTGAGTTTGCGTTTTGTTAATTATCCCGCTGCTGTTGAGACTTGTGCAAATCCGAGGTGGCTCTTCATGAACCCTTTCCCTTGTGCGTTGGAGGCGGTGGTGATGGATTGCAGGCCTAGCATATTAGAGATAATGGGAACAATTTATGCCACCCAGGTCTGAGCGACACCCACGAGGATGCTGTGCCTGGGCTCAGCCTGGGCTGCGTGCGGGTGAATGCGGAGGCAGGCCAAACAGAGCCCGTCCCGGTCACCACTGGAGCAACAGGATCCGACCCCTCCTGTCCTGCCCTCTGTGGAGATGTAGGGTGACGTGACGGTCAAGGTGTGACATACCCCCCCAAGACCTGATTTGATCCCTCTTTGCTTATCTTGCAGAGGGATGTGAAGAGCGTTCTGCTCCCCTGTCGGTCCCGCGATTTTATTTTATTTATTTATTTTTGGTAGGTTTATAGGAGTCATTGCCGTGGATGCTTAACGATGAAAAGGGGAACTACATCTTGATTATACACCCTCAACGACTATGGTTTTAGTGTTCACCGTTTGGCAGTCATGTGTGGAGAGAAGTGTGATCAAATCTGGGTGTGTTTTCCTAGCACCCCGCGGTGTCCACTGGTCCGATCTGGGTGTAAAGGACATTGCTTTGAGAATTAAAATCACGCTTCTTGTATGCCTGACCATGCCCGAAACCTGCCTCCCCAATTCTTCCGAAAATACACAGTTTCCAGAAAGATCTCTGCGTTTCCACTGCATCCCACAAATGCAGACACACACATACACACCCCTACTTTGCCCGCCGTGCAGCGGCTGGAATGCAAGGTAGCTGTGTTAGTCTGCGCTCACCCCTCATGACCTAAACAAAATAAAGAAAGTAAAAGCGCTTTTGTGGCACCTCAAATCTGGGTGTGTTTTCCTAGCACCCCGAGGTGTCCACTGGTCCGGTCTGGGGGTAAAGGACATCGCTTTGAGAATTATAAAATCACGCTTCTTGTATGCCTGACCATGCCCGAAACCTGCCTCCCCAATTCTTCCGAAAATACACAGTTTCCAGAAAGATCTCTGCGTTTCCACTGCATCCCACAAATGCAGACACACACATACACACCCCTACTTTGCCCTCCGTGCAGCGGCTGGAATGCAAGGTAGCTGTGTTAGTCTGCGCTCACCCCTCATGACCTAAACAAAATAAAGAAAGTAAAAGCGCTTTTGTGGCACCTCAAAGACCAACTGCTCTGTTTGAAGGCAAACTTTCGTGGAAGAAGCCTATTTCCTCTGATATTAGAGACCAGGAAATTTTGTGTTCCCTATTTTATATAAAGAAAGAAGTCGGAGCAAGGATGTGCTTTGAGTCAGCTTTGAGTAGACCTTGAGATGCCCCTTCCCATCGTGGCGGCTCGCCATGCACTTTTGGGAGTCCTCTTTGGGTCAAAAGGTTCAGGAGGGCCACCCATGCTGTTGTTCTGCAAGAGAGTCAGGCCCCTGGAAATTCCCTTTATGTGGTTCTGGGGGGGGGGGAAATACTTGGATTTCCAGAGTGGGACGACGGGTCACGAAAATAGGTTCTGCAAAAATAGGTCGGGCGGTGCTTTTAGGATTTCTAATTTTGGGATTGGAGGAGATCACCCCTAGCTATGGTCACCTCTCCTGAGGCTTGATCCCCTTTAAGTGGCTTTGGAGAGTAATCCTCTAAGAACACGCTGTATGTCCCTTGCCCGGCCGAAGGGCCTTCTGCGGTTTGATCCTGAACGCCGGAGACACCGTCCTCGTAGCTTTTGACTGATTCCTTGAGAAGGGCCTCGACGATCAAGGTCCAGCTTGTTTTCTTTTAAAGGACATTTTAAAATGCCGGTCAAGAGGCTTCTCCGGGTGCAGCGTGTTAAGCGTACGAATCTTCTTTTCCGAATTGGCAAGGCGGCGGTGCCTCACGAAAGGCTGCCAAGCGGGAGGCAGAGAAGAGGCAGGGAGGGAGAATCCTCGGGAAGGGGCCCAAACAGGCCTCCCGGCTACCCCACCCAGACGCTTGCAAAGTTTTTCTGCGGTGTAAGCTTCTGGGCACTGCAGGCAGCTTCTTCAGCAGGTGGGCTGGAGTCCAAGGACGCCTCCTGCTCCATAAAAACAGGCGAGTCTCAGGGTGCCACCGGATTCCTGGTTCCTTTTGTTTTTCATGTTCTCTACGCCCGGCCGTGGTGCTGTAGCGGACGAGGAAGGCCGACGACCCGTCGGTGGCTTCCTCCTCACCGTTCTCCCGGCGTGCCAGGGTGACTTTCTTCCACCACGACCCCCTTGGTGTCGGCCTTTGCAGACGCAGAGGGCTTGAAATAGCCCCACCCTGGGGGATTTGGATAAATCCCGGGCGGGGGGGGTTAATCCAGCATTGCCACCTAGAGCATCCTCTGGCTAATTCTGGCCTCCGACAGCCGGCCAAGGCAGAGGTGAGCCTGACACAAGGAAGGAAGGAAGCAGCCCTTGTCGATTTTGCTAGCGCCAAGATTATACATCTTTTTCATCATTCTTCAGTTCGGTCCTGACTTCTCCCTCGTGTGAGCCCCCCGTGAGGAAGGCTAGCCGGAGGTCAGCCGGCGTCAGCTACCCAGCACTGCTGGGCCTCTTGATGCCAGTGCAGTTCTTACAAGCTCCCTTCAAAAGTGCCCTTTTATCCCTTTGGAGAGGGAGAGCGGGACTTGAACCCGCCACCGCCGTGCAGCCTCGCAGGCGAGTCAGGCTTTGGGCGAGCTGAGCCCTCTGGTTGGTAACCCTGCACACCTTCTGCCAAAGCAACGCCTTTGAAGTTGGCCAGAGATCCCCGGGGGGGCAAAATCTACACCAGTGTTAAGAGACACGGTGCCACCCCCTTGCTTTAAGTCGTCTCTAAGGAGTGACTCCCTACTTAGATTCCTCATTAGATCCCCGCTGTTAATTATCACGGCAATGTGGGCGTAACCACGCGGCAGGATCTGGGCCGCCGGTTCTTTGCAAGCCACGGATCTCCAGTCATGGGTGTTCGCAGAAGGAACGCCCGTGTGTGTTGCGCAAGGAACCACGAGGGAGCGAGGCTAGCGAGGGTCCCTTCTTCCACGGCCCTTTCGCCTTTTTGGTGCAGGGAAACTAAGGACGTCGGTGTCAGGTGGCTGGTTTGATTGCCCAAGCCTGCCTCTGCTCGCCCCGGGTGCCCTTTCTCCTGTGTCATTTGGGGTGTGAA